TTGACTAACTTAGAAGGGTTTTGGGGTCCGAGGGCTTTGGGGAGGGCTGTCGCGGGGTTTGGGCATCACTCCAACATAACTATATACTAAGACTAAACACCCTTCAGGCGAGGGCTAAGCTGTACCTAGAGCTGTTTAGCGCGGTTTCGGGATCACCAAAAGCTCGAAGCCAAGCCCCGATCATTCCAGGATAACTTCCAAGACTAAAACCTTTTGATTTTGAACACTTTTTCCTGCAGCTTGCATTCTCCCCCAAGCGACCAAGTCAGAGGCCTGTTACCATACAGTAGTACAGTAGTAGTAGAGTGTTTTTTTTCAATGGTACACTTGTAGTACAAGAGTACAGCAGTAGTACAGAAGCAGCACAGTAGTAGTACAGTAGTCGCACAGTAGTACAGTAGCAGTGCAGCAATAGTACAGTTTGGTTACAGTGCGGCTTTAGGGTGTAGGGTTATCGGTTAAGGGCGGGGTGTAGGTGCAAGGTTCTACGGTTTATAGGGCTAGTCGGGTACAGCGCTAGCTGGTGGAAGAGTGGCTCACTACCAGGCGTTCTTGNNTTGCTTGCAAGCCTGCAGCGAAAAGGGTTTATGGGCTTGGGGTTAAGGGAGAGCTTCGGGTTTCAGGGGGGGAATTACGGTGTCTTAAGATTGACGATCAGCAGAAAGGAAGCAAACAAAAGCAACATCAGCCGGCCAATAAACAGGCCTTTAAAAAACACAATCAAAAGAACGTTGCAACGGAATGAATAAGCCGATCAGAAAGCGCACTATAGACTCCCAGCTGGCTAAATATGCCGCCACATGGCGGCTGTAAATCTTAAAGCCTAAGCCTAGGCCTCAACCGTGCGACTTGCAAATCCTTTCCTGTAGCAGTGTCGCAGCCCTCAACAGCTCGAGTGTTTGCGGTGCATGCTTTAGGCTCCTCTTGTTTCCTTGGCCTATACATCTCACCGTCTACTCTTCGCCTCAGGAGGTCTTCGTTTAGGCTTCATGGGCGCGCATTTCCCGATCACCCAGTTGGTCACTCGCTTCGGATTGATTGGTGAAAGGTTGAGCAGCAAGCAAATTCAATAATAACTTGTGGGCTAGGACATGTTCACATTTAGCATCCCGGCACTGTAAGTGCAAAGTTTAGACGCCACTGTGCCCCAAACTCATCTAGCACTACACTGAAGCAGGCACCCTGAAGCCTCTATTGCCTTCAATTGTGCAAGCGCTCATCCCCCTTTAGTTATGTAAGTACTGGGCCGCTTTGGGGCAGGCGCTTTTGATTCAAGGTGTTTAGCGAAAGGCTTTCAGTTTGAGAATGCTGCGGTAGTTTCTTCTCCTAAACCCTAACTTAGACTGTTGTTTGTCTTGATCGCTGTGAATGCCTCATGTGTGGCGCATCGCCATTGGGTTTTAGCTCGCCACCGAGCCCGACTACATCCTAGCACACGATGCCGTGTCTCATTACTGTCATTGCCGTTGTGTTGTGGCGGTCTCTGCTACAGTCTCCCATCCCGATATCTCTTTGATGGTTTCCGTCTTCGACGTGCTTGAAGCCTTTGGAGGGTGCAGGGGGTAACTTCGCATTGAGGAGTTCGGGCTCTTTGTGTTTTCACTCCGGATGATGTAAGGGGTCCGGACACCCTAAACCCTAAACCCG